ATTTGAGAAGGTAAAAGAGACATTTCGCCAATGGAACAAAACAATTTACATTTAAAATAAGAAAACATAATTGCATTGTCTTATTTCAAGTGAATTTCATCTAAATATCTTATTTTAAGAGTAAAAATACTCATTCCATTGGCAAACTATCTCATTTACCTGCTCAAATTGAGGGTAAATACACTTATTTTTAGATTGTTTTTCCAGTGTAGAGGAGCCACTGACCATGACGGGCTTGGGCAGAGCGTCCTCCACGCAGATGGAGCTGAGCGGCTGACCGAACAAGCAGCCTTGAGTGGCTCCGGCCAGCGACAGCTCGTTCAGGTGAGATGAGGAGCCTCTCCAGAAGGCCCAGGTGATGAGCGAACGCCGCCGTTTGAACGACTTCTGGGAGAAATCTGCAGTGGGAAAACACGAGGAACCTCTTTTTTATCTGAATAAGTAACAAAATACGGGGAGAAGAAGAGACTTTACCTGCAGGTAACTGCTGCTGCGGTGGTTCTGCAGGCCGAGGCTTTAGGATGAACTGACACTGCTTGTACACCTGCAGCTGCTCCACCTGCATGGCCGCCTGCCTGTCCGCAGGTGGCGCTGTGACGTCCCGGCTTCCTCCTCCCTGAACCCCAGAGTCTCTCACATGACTCATCTGGATGCTGAAGGGAAACTCATGACCTGAGAAGGAGATGGCAAAGCGCCTTATATGAAAACTGTCCTCGTCTCTCCCCTGAAGCTCGGTCACACTCCTCACTGCCAATGAATGGATCCAGTGTGGCAGTTAACATCCCAGCAAATAAAGCTCAAATGATGCTCCGCATTGGAAAAGTATATTTACATTTAATTCCCTTTTAAATTTGATTAATTTCAGTTTCAATTTAATTGTGGTTGCAAACGTATCACTAAATTAGCTGTTTGTGGCTCACCAATAAGAGGATAAGGTGTGTTGTCTCTCTTGGAGACGACCCACAGCTGGAAATCTTTGACATTTCCCTAAAATCAACAGACAGGCGATCAGACAAACGGATATTTTTAGGTTAAGCTATCAGATCGATGCCTGACGGCAGAGCTTATCTGGCTCACTCACTATAATGCCAAACTGCTGCAGGGCCAGGCGGATCACCTCATTGGCTGAATCCCAGTTGCTGACAGGAAGAGTCTTGGTCTGATCAGAGAAGTGAGAAAGACGGTGAGACGGAGGAATCTTAATAAAATAACCTGCTATTGACACCACCAAACAGAATCTTACAATAGCAAAGGTGTTCAGTCCCTTCCCGTAAACTCTCAGAGGGATTGTTTTAGGCTCCTCCTTCTCTTTCTCCTCCTTTATCCGACTGTGGAGACGTAAATAAACACACTGCATGATTTTTGTTGTGCTTATCACAATAAATAACTAACAGGAGAGTTTTTTACCTCTTTAGGAGGGAAAGCCATCTCTCCTTCTGTTCAGATGAGCTACAAGAAAGCATGAAGAGGGTTAAACATAACAGACGGACGAGTTTACACCAAACAGAAGCTCTTCTCAGAAAGTTAAAACCAGAAAATGAACGTCCAGAGTTCTTGTTCTTTAGTTTCGCTGGAAATCTGAGAAAGAACTGCAGGTTTGGCTTCCTGCTCTCATCCCTAAAAGCTCATTAGATGACCCAAAATTCATGTTTGGTCTCATATCTCACTTTATTAAAAATATTTTAACAGCAAATTATATCTAGGCGCTTAAATAAACAAATAATCACGCTAATATTTGGTAAATGTTCACCTTCCATTCAAACAAACAGCTAAATGGTTGAAGATTGGACATAATGAACTTCTAAATACATCAGATCTTCTTTTAGCATCAATTAATTGGACTTTTTTCAACCTCTAATCTACGAAAGAGGATTAGAAAAAAAAAAAAAAAGTTAACAGATTTTTTTTATTTTATTTCAGTATGGTATAGTCACGATTCTGACTTTAATCTCAGAATTCTGACTTTTTTTTCTGAATTCTAACTTTTTTTATTGTCAGAATTCAGTCAGAATTCTGAGATTAAAGTCAGAATTCTGAGATTAAAGTCAGAATTTTGACTTTTTTCCCCATGTTAAACTGAAATAAAATTTAAAAATCAGTTAACTTTTTTTTTTTTTCAGTGGCCCTAATCCTCTTCCGTACTAATCTATTGAAACTTTTTAGATTACAATAAAAAAGTTCATCTACCTGTCAGCGAGAAAGTTTTAAAATCAGTTATTCCATTTAGCTAATAGTGAAATAATTTCTCTCCATCTCATTAAAGGGCTGGATTATAACATAAGTGGAATGTTTGAATATATTTGAGCATGAATGTTTAATTTGGACTGTTTCTGTTATTATTTAAAGTTTTTCTTAATACAAAAATACATTTACATAAATCATTAAAAGCTTTGAATTAACATGAACTTTAAGCCAAATTTGGGAGCTAAATTATTACAAATAATGGAAACTAATAAGAAGATAAACAAAAAAATAATCCTATGAGACAGCAGCTTAATAATAAACTAATAAATATCCCATTTTGATGCAATATTAGAATAAAATGCATATAATAAAATAAGATTAATAATAATTAGCCTATTCTGAAAGCAAAAAAAAAGCAGTGGATAGCACTGCTACCTTGCAGCAAGAAGGTTCAGGGTTCGAATCCCGGGATCTTTCTGCATGGAGTTTGCATGTTTTCTCCCTGAGCATGCATGGGTTCTCTCCTCCCACAGTGAAAAAAATATGACTGTTAGGTTAAATGGCTTCTCTAAATTCTCCTTAGGTGTCGCAACCCCGTTTGGGATAATCATTACAGAAAATGGATGGATAGAAAAAAAAACATCCATTATGACAACAGTGTAGCAAAGAAATAATAAAATAAATAATAATAAACAATTCTGACAACAGTAATATCAGGGGTTGACGTTAAGGATTTTTGCCCTTTGGGCCAGTGACTTTCAAATTTAATATGCCCAGAAACATTTTTACTTGCCCAGTATAATGTTTGATACATATAGTTCCTAATATTCATTTTTGTATATATATAAACGAAACATGTTTGTTTTTTTAAATGTTTTTTTGTAATTCAGTAAGTTTCCAGGTTCCTGGTGTGTATCTGCATGCGTCAGATAATGAACTCAAGCCTACATTACCGAGTTAAAATGCTTTTCAATCCTTCCTGCACATTCTTTTCAAACTAAACTTTGCTTTAAACTGTTGTGTGCTTGGAAAAATATAAATTGTAATGTTAAAAATCAAAAAAAACATTGACAGGTTAAAAACTTACACTACTACTACTCACCTATTTAACATGTTTAGCTCTATAACATTTAAATGCACCACTCCAATGTCTAAGAGAAAAAAATATTATGAACATTTTTTAATGTATGACCACTGTACAGAAGACTGCCATATGATAGAAATATTTAAACTGTGCGCATATAATTATTATTATTATTTTCCTTATCCCTGACTGATCATTTTTAATCTAGTGTGTATTATAGTATAGATTAAATTCATCATCCAGCTGCTGCTCTGCAGAATTCTCTCCCCAAGAGCTGAATCACGCCATCTAGCGGAAAATCACGCAGCTTTTTCAAATTACGCGAGAATGTGTACAAAACAACAAAAATGGCGCCGGCAACGCTTGTGGGTCGTTTTCAGCGAATGTCGGTGATTTTAAAGTAATTTTGAGTGATAAATATTTTTTTTTGTACTCTCCCGACAATAAAAACTACTAGCCCCGGGAGATCGGGCGAAGGTTAACATCGAGCCCTGAATAAGTAATAAAAAACCAGGGCATTTGACAGCACTTTTGCTAAAGAAAAGTAAAAATTTAATAAATGTTAATCAACCCAATTTGACAGCAGTTTTGCAAAAATAAATATGCTTAAAAAAATAATAAATAACTGATACTAAATCCATTCTGACAGCGGTGGCATCACCATCTCACACTTTTTTCCTAAAATAACAGCATTTTTTCTTGAATTGAGCAAGTAAGTGAGACACTTTTCCAAAGAGTTAAGACAATTTATATTTATAATAAGGAAAAACACCAACCGCAGTCTTTAGACCCTGTTATTTACCTACTCAAGCATTTAGGCTCAGCTTTTAGCATCACTGGAGTGTTTATCTGTTTAAACTCAAACATCTAGAGCTGTTTAGGTAGATCAGCTTAGAACATGTGGAATAGATCCTACAAACACAACGTAAAAAAAATAAAAGCTGAGCTAATCTGTGTGATCATCCATGTCGTCTGTGTTTACATAATAAAAGTGTGGATTATTGTTTGTTTCGGTGTAAATGTGTGTTACCTAAACACGGCGACGCAGTTCCAGGTGGGCCAGCCCATGACGAAGCTCCGCTCCGGGGCGGTGCTTCCCTCACACACCTCGTCCATACAGCTCGCCGTCCACATCTCGCACACACACACCTGGGCTTTCTGCTTGAAGTTGTTGGCTGACCTGGAAACAGAGTCGTCACGCAAACGCACACTGATTGATGCAACTGAACACACAGAGGCAAGGCTGCACGCTGTTGGGGCTTTACTTGGCTTTAGCTACCACCAGGATGTCACTGAACAGGAAGAGGTGTCTGTCCTGGGTCTGCATGCCCGTCTTCAGCTGGGCGTGTCCGTAGAGGAGGAAGAACCTTTCGGGGACGACCAGAAAGGACTGGACTAACGGACAGGTTTCTGGAAACGCAGGAACCAGGAAACTCTCCCTGGAAATAAGGAAGACAGCAGAAGATCAAACGAGACCTGGACTCTATAAAGCCATAACCTGCTGCGTCTTTAAAGGGGTCATAGAATGCAAAACAGAGTTTCCAT